CTCTCTCTCTCTCTCTCTCTCTCTCTCTCTCTCTCTCTCTCTCTCTCCAGTCTTCTGGGTTTCCAGGTGAAACCCACAGGCCACAAGTGTTTCCTTAGGACAATCACATCTCTGAAAACATTATGCAGAACTGCTAAAGTAGAACAAAATTCGGAGTAAGAATGTTCTGTGGACACAAATTCCTCTGGGGTACATTTGTCCTTGGTAACAGGTTCTCTGTCTACATTATGTTAATTATTATTTCCTCAACCACTGGATGTGGTTACTACTCCAGGTTGGACAGGTTTTATACGTGTGTGTGTGTGTGTGTGTGTGTGTGTGTGTGTGTGTTTTCATACAGTGGTGATTGCTTGCTACTTGTTCTAGAACTCAAAAAGCCTTATTATTTTACTAATACAGAGAAATAAAGTCCAGAAACTTTTCCTTGGGGGTAGAAGATAATTTCTAGTTGCCTAATGGGCGGGGATGGGGTGGAGTAAAGAAGGAACTGGGAGGAGGTATAATGTGAACAGAGAGAGCTTTGAATCAAGAGTCAGGTTACCTGGCCTTCACCATTTCACTTTTTCTTTAATTCACACATGGCTTCACTTGTTCATTCAACAAGCATTTATTACCTTCTATGTGCAAAGAGCTCATTGTATGACCTCAACCAAGCCACTTGAATTCTAAGAATAACGAGGTTTTTAAAAAAACATTAATAGATTTTAATTTATTAACAGTTCTAGGTTATGGCAAAAGTGAGTAGAAAGTAAAGAGATTTACCATCTACTCACTTCCTACACACAAGTATAGCTTTCTCCGTGAACGACATTCCCTGCCAGACTAGTACGTTTCTTACAGTTGACGGACCTGTATAGAACCATCATCGTCACCCAGAGTCTGCAGTTCACATTGCTCGCTCACTCTCGGAGGTGCACATTCTGTGGGTCTTGGCACATTCTATCACTACATCTAGCCATCACCGTGAATACACAGAGTAGTTTCACTGCCCTAAAATTCCTCCATTCTCTGTCTCTACTAACTTCTCTTGCTCACTCAACCTTTGACAAAGACCAACTTTTCATTGCCTCCCTAGATATCACTGTACTAAAATTGTACACTTGTAGGTGGCTTTTTCCACTTAGTAATATGAATGTGAGATCCTCCATGTCTTTTTATGGTGGGTAGAACATTTCTTCTTAGCACAGAACAATAATCTGTTGCCTGGATGTACTATAGTTTATCTATTCACTTACCTGAAGGACGTCTTAACTGTGTTCCTATTCTGAAAAATTATCATTAAAGCTGTTACAGAGTGACTTAGTGCGATCTTGTCTCAAAAAAAAAAAAAAGTCAGCCAGGTTTGGTGGCACACTATTGTAATCCTAGTACTGGGCTGCCTTAGGCAAGAGGATCTCGATGAGTCCAAGGCCAACCTTAACTGCACAGAGAGAACCTATCTCAAAAATAATAAATAAAGGTGGGCATGGTGGCACATACTTACAATCCCAGCAATCAGGAGGAAGGTTGTTGTGAGTTTGAGACCAGCCTAAGCTACAAAGTGAGCTCAAGGCCAGTCTGAGCTGCATAGTGAGATCATGTCTCAAAAAGACTAATTAATTAATTAATATGATATAAGCAAACAAAAATAAAAATTAGGAGGATGTAGTTCTGTGCAAAACTTGGGGTTCAGTCCACAGTGCCCCAGCAAAAGGGGTGTTGCTTCCTATCATACACATCTCCCAGTGGAGCTGTCAGAGAAGCTCTATCCACTTAGAAGAGCTTTGAACTGAGTAAGACACAAAAATAGGCACTTAATAAATTTGTCTGTTCCTAAGAAACCCCAGCTGTTAAAAATATCCGTGTGCATATTTTCGTATAGACATAGTTCTGAAGTTTTTTAAATAATAAAGAGCATAATTTCTGGGTCATATACCATGTTCAGTTTTATAAGAAACTAACAATTTTCTTTCCAAGTATTTATAGCATTTTGCATTCCTGTGAAGGATGAAAGAGGGCATTTCTGTGGCTCCACATAATTATCAACATTTCATGCAATCATTATTTTGGATCATGGCCATTCTTCTAGGTGTGTAGGTATCTTAGTGTTGCTTTAATTTGCAACATCCTAACGAGGTTGATGTGCACTATCTTTTCAAATGCATATTTGTTATCTATCTTCTTTGATCAGGTAGCTGTCAGATCTTTCCCCCATTTTTCATTCAATTTATTTTTTCCTTATTGTTGCAAGTTGTAAGAATTCCTTGTATATTCTGAATAAAAATCCTCCTTTTTTTCTTTTTTTTTGGTGGTGCTTGGACTCGAACCCAGGGCTTTGTGCATATGAGGCAAAAGCTCTACCACTGAGCCACACCCCCAGCCCACAAATCCTCTACCAGATGTGTGTTTTATAAATATTTTCTCCCATTCTACGGCTTGTCTTTTCAGTCACATGACTGTGTCTGTTGCAGGTCAGAAAGTTTTAAGTTGTTGCTTTAGACTACTGAGAAGTTGGGGTTGTTTGTTATTTCAGTATCATCCAGTCTATGATGTCCCCTACAACTGAGCAGGAAGATTTGATAACTTCAGAGTAGATTGAATACTATAAAAATAGGCGTGTCGAATTAAACTGCTGCTGAAAATGAGTTTGGAGCTAGGATGACAGGACAAAGAATAATACTCTCAGAAGTATCTCCCACTTGTGCCACAGGAAGAGGAGAAAAGGGAGAGGAACAGGGCATCAGTTGCCTGGCTCTGGATGTTGCTGCATCCACATGGTTGTGAAATCTGAGTGCACAGGAAATACTGATTTTCATGGATGGCTGCCAGTCTAGCTCTGTAGGGCAGAATATAGCAAGTAAAGAGAATCTAGAGTAAAGCTTCCCTTCAATTCTGCTTTCTCCTTCCTCTAGAGGCAGGATGGGTTTTCATTTCTAAGAACCTAAGTGAACCCAAAGAGCGCAGCCTGACCCTTTCTGTATTTCATGCCCTGAGAAGCTTGCTGAGGGCAGCCATTTCCCTAAGGATAATGAAGAGGCCACGAGAGAATGAATTTATTGATGTCTACTGTGTGCCAGGCATCACATGAGGATTTTATATATGTTATCTTTTGAATCTTAGCGCAACATTCTGATTTCTATGAAAATAAGACAACTAGCAGTTATACCCTTGTTGTAAGCTTTGTCTACTAAATAATAGATCTGAATTCAAACCCAGACCCAGGTGACTAATCCCTGAACTTTTTACATTATCTTTCTCCCCCATCACTTGTTTTCTTAGGGTTTAAAAAGTGAGGAAACTGAAAGAGAAATTAAATCAAGAAGTGGCCCTTAGAAATTAATTACTCCAAGTTTTAAATAATGAATATGTCCTTTTGCAGAGCACCTTAAAAAGTTCTGACTCTAGGAGTTGGAAGTCACTTGCCTGGAAGTGTGCACAGTATCGAAACCCTCTTCAGTATGTCACAAAGGAATGCCTGAAAGACTGCAGCACGGTCATGAGGATGACAACCATGTGCCAGACTTCCAGTGGTTTCGCCGCAGTGCATGCAGTTATCTTTTACAACCTCTTTGGATCACAATGGCTCGTGGTAAAGGTAAGACTCGGGCTCCTATTTGTTGGGGGATTATGGGCCATGGTGTTATTCAACAAGAAAGAGACTAGACTAAACTGTGCTCACTCATCAAGATAATCATACAAACTTTTGCTAGACTTCTTGGACAATGTGCCAGCCAGCATTCTTCAGGGTCAGGTTTGTTCAACAAAGTGTTGCCTGATTTAAAAAAATAATGATAATAAAAAGTGGGGTAGGGGGGAGGGCCCAGTGGATAGTAAGTTCATTTGTTAGGCCAATAACAAACTCAGTAAAATACAATAACAGCAACAAGGCAGACTCATAAGAACACAGTCCTTGAGTGGCTTCTAAGTGCTCAGTAATTGTGTAAATGCTCCTCCGTTAAGCTGAGAGCTGAGAGATAGAAACCAACAACCGCAAACAGAAACCTTTTGGAAGAGCTTAAAGATTTAGTCATGGCACACCTCCAATTTTCCATCTTTTATTTAACTCCTTTGAACTCCCACTAATTTCCAGGCAACACTTTGGAATTCCATTTTTAGCTTTGCCTTTTGAATTATTATTTTTCCCCCTTGATGTACAAAACTGTGTATAGAGATGGTTTCTCTTTTTCATTAAATTTTTTTCTTGATTGTTGAATAATGCTCATTGCCAGATGATTTAAAAACAGACATTAATTTGAAGAAGAAAATAAATATGATCTGTAATTCCACCATTCAAGAGACAATCACTGTTAAAGTTTTGGCCTATATCCAGCTGGGATGCTTTCTAAATGTGCATATACTTAAAAAAAAAAAAAAATCTGAGCGTGCTCTGCTTAGAGTGTCCTGGAAAGAAAGTGGTCAGGAGCACAGGCATTGCTTGAGATGCCCTGTAATCATCACCTGGCTCAGTCAGTTGGTGACTTGTAAGGCACTGGAAAAGGTGTAAGGGTCTGCCTGCTCAATAACGTATCTGGTACTAACTGTGTATATGTATGTTGAAGGGTGAATGATAAAATGGATACAAAGTCTTAAGAAAAGTGATGGGCGCCCACTAAATATTGAAGAAGTTTTAGCTTTGCTTCATTTTTCCTCCTGATGATCTGATTATAAATGTTTTCTATTAATTTTTTTTAAATCACAACTTTAGATTAAGAGATTGCATTTTATGAATACAGCGTAAATGTATTATTCCTCTCATGTCGAATATGTTTTGTTTTGTTGTTGTTTTTTTTTTTTTTTTTTGTATTTTAGGGAAGGATCTACAGGGTGTTTAGGGTCTCACTATGCCACCACGCCCAGTCTCAATTGCGTGCCCTGGGGGCAGGCCCTTGTGGCAGGCCCAAGGATTGTACCCAGGGCCCCTGAGCATGCTTGCAGTTGGTTTAATCCCCTGAGCTATTTGGCTGGCCCTATGAATACATATTCAATTTTTTGACTTCTGTACATTATGCTGCAATGAAGAATTTACCAAATAAATCTTTCTTTGCTGCTGCTGTCAGACTGTATCCAGTGAATGGAACGATGGGATCAGGTAAGTAGGATGAGTTCAAGGTTATTAACGCATATCAAAGAGTTGTGTTATTCACACTCTCACCAGAGCTGTATAAACAGATCCACCTTACTGTCAATCGACCTGCTTGACCTTGTCAAGGTCAACCTAGTGCATTTTCATGCAACTTTATTAATATCACTTATTTTGAACTCCACACTATACATTAAATCACGTTTAAACTTTATACATGTTTAAATTTTTCTTTAGGGCATTGCAGTCACATTTATTTAAGTGAAAATTTAACCACATTTATTTGTATAGATAGTCGCTTTTGATGTCCAACATACAGACTTTTGAACTCTGGTTTTGCCACCATTTTAATATAAATATTTGTGCTACCATAACAAAATATATGTGAGCAGGTAAAGCATAAAGCACAGATATTTATTTCTCCTAACTCACAAGGCTGTGAAGTCCAGGGTCAAGACAGCTCTTTGCTTCCAAGATGCTTCCTTGAGCACTATGTCTTCTAGGGTGAACAAATACTGTGTCCTCATGTGACAGAGTGGATGTGAGAAATGGGTTTGTGCCACATACTCTCTAATAAGCACTGGTCCCATTCACAAGGGTTCCACTTTGGGGACTTAATCACTTCACGAAGGCCCTTCCTTCTAATGACGTCACATTCATAATTTTCTATTTGATATGAACTTGAAGGGACATATTCCGATGATAGTAACCATCCTTCTGCTTTTGAATTGTCTGAAATACACATTAAGGCTTAGGTTAATCCTATCTTAAGCAACTTTTGTCTCAAAATTGTTGGCTTCATGTCATGGTGCAATTGGGTTGTCTACGCTTTTGAATTATTATGTCAAAGACAGTAAAATCAGATGAAACTTATTTTCTTGATTCTCAAACCTAAGCTAGGAGCTTTGGATTATCTGACCATTTATCTAAAATGATATTCTTAGTAATTCTTTATTCTTATATTTGAATTAATTTTTCCTCATCATTTCTTGAAATTGTATTAAATATTTAAGTAACCACCATTTAATTTGTCCAGATGGTCAGCTCCATAGAGGTAGGAACCATGCTTGATGCTGTATCCTGGTCACCTAGAAAGCACTGATGGATGGCAGGCACTCAGTACATTTGTGTAGTGAGTGGGATACATGAAACAAAATCTGTTCATCAAATTCAGCTGGGAGAGCTTTGTAGCTGAAAGTGCACATGGAAGTACACCATAGAAGCCCACACTGTTCTCTTCTGATCCCACTACCAGGATGACTCCTCAGCCTGTCCATTTGACCTTTACTTAACATACTTACATTGAGGGTAAGTGAGAAGTGGATGAGAGGAGATTTCTGATGCTCATGTCTATGGACTATTCTAGGCCAAGTCTTCCCAAGTCCGTCCAGTTCGTATGTCATAGACTCAACTATTCTGACTAGGCATGCTTTGGTCAGTCTGACCCAGCACCTTGTCTAGCCACATATCTGCTTTGAAAATCTATAAATGCTAGGGAGCCCTTACAATGAAACCTTTCACAATGGAGTGCCTGGATTTTATTGAGAAAAGCCAATCCACTCCCATCTGTCATTTGGCACTTAGCACTGTAGTTATTCTAGATGAGTGAACACTTGTGTTATATTTTCCAATAGCAAAACTGGGGTCACCAGGGTGCCTGCTGTTTTAGCCGAATCCAGATGGGGTTTTCCTATAAACAAGTGCACTTGGAATATTTATGCCGCCCGTGGCACCTGACGCCTTAATACTTAGGACTTCTATGTAGTAGCCACTCTTCCTATAAGTCACTTTAGCACACTAAGTAAATATTTTAATATAGCCATGTCACTGTTTATTATAGAATGGCTTGGGCCCAGATCTTGCCTAATGCTTGGTTAAAAAGTCAGTTTATACCATCCTTTAAAGTGAATCAAAGAATGCATAAACGCCACTCTTTTGTTACTCAGAACTCTGTTTACTTTACTTTTCTGTAAACCTTGTGAAATGCTTGCTTACAAAAAGCTGACAGATGCCAGATTTGCTCATTAACTGGAGGTGTTTTCCAAGTCAGGAAGGTGAGGTGTGAACGTGGGAGGTGATATTTCTTCTCCAAGGCTATCTCCCAATGTCTAGTGCCCAAGTGGCTGCTGGAACTGCCCAGGGATTTTGACCAGCAGCCACCAGACGGTGAAAGCAACTGAGAAATACTACGTCACAGTGATGGTTCCCGTATCAATGTTGGCTTTTGTTCTTGGAAAGTAAAGACCATTTGGGCAATATGAGATTTGGAAAGACCTTGAAAAATCAAAGTTACTTTCA